TTAGGGCTGCGTAATATAACCGGTTTGCCAGTATTTACCGGTTCAGACATGAAAACGATACGTATTGCGATTACGCTGATCGAAAACCGGTATTTTGACTTGCAATTGGAAAACTTCGTAACACTCGGAAATCTTCGGGTATTTCCTTTTTTCATTTGCGCTAAATATTATTCCCATTATTATTTTATCATGATTAAAAGTTCTTATTAAAGCTTAATCAAGCGTGGTAATTTGGTTGTGTTTTTGCTCTATAAATCAAGCATTAACTTTTGCATCACAATATATCGCAATATGAAAATTCCCTGCAATACCCACCCCTAGGAGTGATGGAGTTTGAAAACGGAAACCGTGTTACAATTTGTTACAGAGTTATGGCCCTTGTCATGCGTTTCTTGACTTAGTGCATGGTATCCCCAATGGCAACAGATTTTCTCAGTAACCGTTTTAGACAGGGAACCCTAATGTGGTATATGTTTATATGTTTCAGGACATGAATGTCATGGTTGAGTTAAAAAACAGGAACCAAACAGGAACAGAATTAGGGATATTGATGACCATATCTTCTTCTTGTTATTTCAGTTTCAAAATGGTCACAACACATTTTCAATTAATTATTTATCAAATTGTCGTTGGAATTTTTTTCTCAGTGAAAATGTTTTCCCAAAAGAATTTATTGGGTAATTACCTTTGCTTTTCCATGCTTTGGAAAATATGTATTGCTACTCATATTGTATCATAATATTTTCACAGTTTTGTTGTAATGGTTGCTAAGTAGGAAAAGCTTGAATTTGGAAATATTAGACAGAATTTATATGCGTATTGTTCTAATATAGAAGTGTCAACATTTTCCTGTCTAATGGTTGTGGCCTTACCATATTGCACTGAAAATACTGGTTGTCAAAGATGTGACAGACATATCTTTTTGAAAAACTCTTCTATTTAATGTTCAACCTGGTCCATTTTGTCAACTTTTGCATAAATATGTTGTTGGTGACCTATATCCTTACCCAGAATTCCCTCACATCCTCAGAACCACTACTGAAGGAGATGCTCGCCCAACTCACTCTAACACTGTTGATACAGATTTATCTGTGTTTTTTCAATACGTCTGAACGGTTATAGTGTTGATATTTATCACACGTCAAGTGTAATCTAAGATGTCCCAAGGTTATTGATCATGTGTACGTTTTCTTCGCTTACAGTGGCATTAATGTGAATTCTTGCACTTTGGAGACATGTTGCGACGATCATGGACAGGTTTTTTTTTCAAGCAGACCTGTATCTTATCCCTATATTAGGGACCGTTCATAATTTATGACTTTGGGGGTGGGTGTGTGTGTGTTTTGATGATGACTTTAAGGGGGGGTCACCCATTTTGTTCTGAGAAGCTAGGGTGGTCAGCAATTTTGTACACACGTATTAGGGGGGTCAGCGATTTAGTACATAAAAATATTTTTAAAATTATGCTTAGAAATTATGGGAAGTGGAGGGGGGGTCATTGAATTTGTACATGACATGCAGGGCGGGGTCACTAATTTTGTAAAGAATTTTAGGGGGGGGGGGTCATTCACATTGTACATGCTTCTCCATAAAAATCATCATCACCCCTCCTTGCCATAAATTATGAACGGTCCCTTATGCAGAAGTTTTTTTCTCTAAAAGTTATGAACCCAGGCTGTTTTGTGTCTTTGTAAGTAAAATGAATCCAATTTTTCCATTTCGTCTTCATAACTAGCAAATTGTATCTAAACTCTAAAAGGATATGCAAGTCTAGATCAGACAAGGATCACTGGATTGTCTGGTCCAAACTCAGATTTTTATGGACCGCTGGAATTGTGCTGATTGAGGAATTAAACATCAAACCAACCAACCAACCAACCAAAACCAAGTATAAATTCTTTGATTTCACAGAAGAGCCGGAAAGGTTAGAATTAGGAACAGGAAGTATTTAAATAAAAGCAACATGTGTTTAAAGACTAATATCAGTGTTTTGTCCAGCGTGCTGTTAGGGTTAAACAGAAAATTATGTACCAGAATATGTTTGTGCATTTGTGTCTCTGATCTGACTAAATGCCATGTGTTTCTGAAATGTTACACATCTAACATATCAAAGATCGTCTGTGTTTCTACACAGTTTGCTCCTGGAGATGTTACCTTTCTCTTGGTGGAAATCCGTGGAAACCCGTTGATACAAGGGGCAAGGGTTGCCTCAGTTGTTTAAGGACTGCACCGAGGGACCTTGGGTTATCTAAATATACATGTATCTGGCGCTTTGGTTTCGCCATGTCATGGTTTTTATTTGCAGATGTGACTTGCAAGACCATTAGTATGCTAAGAGGTGTTAGGTTTAGTTTTATTTCAGTATAGAATTTGAAGGTGATTTTGAGTTTAACAAACTTTTGTAATTTTGAGTTTTCCCCATTTGTCTTAAATAGGCAGTTACAGTAGTATGGAATCCTACTTATCAGTTTGTTATGATTATGAAAATGGTAAATGGTTAAGTGTTGTATATCCCTCGGCTTTCTGCCTACATGTCGCTGACACATTGTGATTTAGATGTAATCCTGTTGGGAACATAAGACCCCCAGATGTCTGGGGTTCAAGGTGCTTCAGTTGCCTCCCTTGGACACACAAGGAACCTAACACTGTGGGTTGAAATCCTGATTAGGTTTCTGAGTTTGTCTACTACATGCCTGTACTTGGAGTTTTACCAAGATTGTTAATGTCTTGGGACTTGCATCAATTTCCTCAAACATTAAGCTGCGTGTAACAACTAACAAACAATAAACGCACTCACTCACTCACTCTGTCTTATTCGCTCGTTCGCTCACACACACACACACACACACACACTCACTCACTTTTCAAATTGGCATCAACCTGAATTATTCACACTTTTATATAACTTTTTATGATGCAGTTGAGGAAACAATACTAAATAATGAAAAACTATCTTGTATGTATATTAACAAGAGAGCTTTGGCTTGGTCTTGTGTTTAAATACAGTTCTGTGTTTGCTGTGACAGGTAGTTGTCCTCCGGAGGAGGTCAATGATTGCAGGTGTTGTGACATCCCCACATTATCAGGTGTTGTGAAATCCGACCCAGTTTACCTCTGTTGACATTGTCAGGTCACTATGTGCGACATCAACACTTCATGACCATGAAGGATGTTTACTAGTTTCTATCAGCTGTTGAAATAAAAGTGCAACCGAAACAATGTACTGTTTTGATCTACCCCTCCATTGTCTTCTAACTGCTGTTGATACTATAGTTATTCACAGCCATTGTACCACACCCATTCTATGCTGTTCAAATGTATGGGGGTTTGAAAACCTAAAAGAAAAAAGACATTATACATTTTTGAAACTTGCAGCTTGATTAAGAAATTCAATGCCAAGTTATGGTATATGGTGAACTTGAGAGGAAACCAATTTATGTAAAAGTATTTAAATGTATGATAATGTATGACACAAAGTGATTTGCTAAAATGGCATAAATTATCATATATAAATTTTTAACAGCTATGTAATCCTGCATGAAGACTCAATTGCCATATATTGTGTGATTTCATAATATATTAAATGGTGTTGGACAATACTTGGAAAATCGGTCAGCGTCCCAGAAACTGAAATGACCGAAATCCAAGCGTTGTAGGTCAAGCAAACATGTCATTGATTGAATGTATGGTTGCTTAGCAGAAACTGAAACTAATACGAAGTAGTTCTAAATGAAGGAATTAAATCATTTGAAGGAATTAAATAATAATTTTGGTCCTGGGCGAGTAAATTGTAAAACTTAAGGGAAACTTAAATGAAATAAATAATAATATGTACATTTGTTTATTATGGAAACAAGACTTTCTTCAACTTATTTTCATGCAAATGCAAATTCATAAATGTTAAAAAAGTATCTAAGTAGAAACATCGTGAACTATATTTTTAAACGTACATGATTTGTAGGTTGGTAATAGCTATATGCTGATGATGTCCAAACAGTGAAATGAAGGTCTTTGATTGATTTTTACAAATAGTCGTGGATATACTAACACACAAACCCTGTGTGGAATAAGGTCGGAATTGAACACCACTGTGCTGGTTGTGACTGACTGGATTCCGGTTTACAGTTTGGTATCGTGGTCACCATGCCCATTACCTTGGTTCACTTCTCACAGTATCAATCAATGGACGTCCTGGTCCACACTTGACAACTACAGGCCACCTTCATACAGCTGTCAAAGTAGGTGATGCTGTGGCCGCTATTTTTTCACTTTGCCCGCTATTTTTCACTTTGAGCGTCTGCTACATACCCAGTCATTCCATCATGAAGATCTGGTTAGAACTGGTTTACAGCAACACATTGCTGCTGTTAGTTGACTAACGGGATCAGATAGCCATTGTACAAAATGATCTTAGAGGGAAGGTGATCGTAACTCCCATACCTTAACATAGACTTACGCCAGTCTTAGCATTAAGGTTGTCTTGTACAATGACACCCAGTGGTCAAACTCACTGACTTGTTTGACTGACTGACTGACTGAGTTTAGTTTTACGCCGCTTTTAGCAATATCACGGCTGGGGACACCAGAAATGGGCTTGTACACATTGTGCCCATGTGGGGAATCGAACCCATGTGGGGAATCGAACCGGGACAGGACGAGCCAACGCTTTAACCACTAGGCTACCCCTCCGCCCTTGACTTGTTTGAAGCATGTCGTCATCTTCCAACTGCACAGATCAATGTACCTGATGTCAATCACTGGATTATCTGGTCCAGACTCATTATTAGCTGACCACATGGTTCTATAGTCAGAGTGATGCTCAGTGTGGTTTTGAACAACAAACAACCAAACAACACATCTAGGTGACCCAGTGGCCTTTAATGTTCCCTTTGGTGAAGTGCAGGTCAACTTAGATGGTTATGTTAGTGTAACATTGTATCCATATACGCAGAATCTGTGACATGAATGTACCTACGAACTGACCATATTTTTTTTTTCAGGTGATACAGCATCAGACAGTGAAGTACGAGATGATACCATTGTCACCTCTGTCCAAACACAGATTAAGTAAGTCGTTGCATCTTATCAGTCGTCGAACTTAACCCAATATGTGGAGCAGTTGTCCTAGATATATGTCACTGTGTTGTAAGAGAGCATACACAAGTCAGCACAGTCTGTCTCATTCTGAACCATCTTATAGGAGGATCCGGGTTAGAATTGGTCTTCAGCAACCCATGCTTGTCGTTTGAGGCGATCGGGTGGTCAGGCCGTCAGCTGGAAAGCCTGGAATATTGCCGAGTGCGGCGTAAAGCAACAAACAGACAAAAAAGATTTTCAGTGTATCGATTTGTGAAACTTTCATGTACTTCATGTTATATGAAGAAACTAATGCTAATAGATCCATGTTATCAGTTATCGAACTGAACCCAATATGGAGCACTTGTCTGAGATAATGTCACTGTGTTGAGAAAGCAATCACAAGCCAGTATAGTCTGGTTCATGGTCTCTGTACCATCTTATATAGACATTCAATGTATCGATGTGTGAAACATTAATGAACTGCATGTTACGTGAAGAACTAATAGATCCATGTTAGCTATTGATGTCAGAAACAGCATAAGTAGGCTGTTACAACTTGACCAGCAGGCCAACTGGGCCTGGGCATTTGATGGCCGGATGAAGCCGAGGGTTGTGTTTTATGAAAAGACATTTGTTCTGGAAAAGTAATTTTACTCAAACAAGTAATGTAGTTTGGTTCCTTCAACCATATTATTTTCCTTTTCTCTCAGCCCTTACTGTAATGCAATAGCCTTAAATAAGGCTACTCTGGATTTTTCACTAAATCCGTTCTGACTCTGGCTCCAGTTTAATTTCAATGTAGTTGTTTCTATCAAAATATTTTTTAAGAAACTAAGTGAAAGTCTGCGCTATATTCTGGATGAGAGTAGCCAGTGTTTGAAGTAAACTATTGAAATCAAGGAGTCTCTGGTGTTTTTCTCTTTTAAACTTTCAATAGCGGTAATTTGTTCATGTGACCATACTGTAAAGAGTTGTCTCCCTTAGTCATGCTGAAATCCAATGTAGAAGAACTCAAACAGCCCCATTACGTTCATAGCTCCAAGTCAGTCCTTGTCTGAGACGGAGGAGTATTGTAGGACAGTAGGAGTGTTGGAAATGTGACACAAAAGTCTGTTGCTTCTCGTCATTACCACTGTTCAAAATTAAGCATGAAAGTAAGAAACCGTCCTTGTCGCATCCTCACTGTTCAACTTTTAGGGGTTCAGTGGTTGGTTTTAACCAGGTTTGAATCCTGATATAGATACTGTTTTTGAAGCCCATGTTTTGTCTCTGCTACCTTGATATCTATTTGCGTGTGGCCCATGAAGATATGGGTTAGAATTGATCTTCAGTATCCCATGCTTGTTGTAAGAGGCGGCTAACATGATCGGGTGGTCAGGCTCGCTGACTTGGTTGGCACATGTCATCGTATCCCAAATGCATAGACTGGATTGTCTGGTCCAGACTCAATTATTTACAGACTGCCACAATATAGCTGGAATATTGCTGCGTGCAGCGCAAAACTTAAACTCACTCTCTCACTTTCATTGCATATTGTGCCATGTTTATAATTATGTACGATATAGATATAGAATGTTATACTAGTGCATTTGGATGTTATATATTGAACGAGAAGATGTCATGGGAGCAGAGAAACAACGAGGTGTTTCTGTGTTTCTCTGCTCCCATGACATCTTCGAATTCAATACAAAATATCCAAATGCACTAGTATGACTTTCTATATTTATTATATACCCTCTTATCTTGCATGGATCTGTTACTTAATAAAACAAATCATAGCAGTAGCAATGTAGAACCGGCAGGGGTTCAATATGGAATCTAGGGTGCAATACGGAATCTGACCACGTTATCCGTATTACACCCCTGTATTGCTATCCTAAGTTTACATGGGTATATAAATTTGCTTTTTCTCATGTTTCAGGTATGTTGAGAAATGTCTAAGGTATATTGTGTTGTGTTTCAGGTATGTTAAAAAGGAAGGTTTTAGTGTTGGATCTTGATGAAACACTTATACATTCACATCACGACGGTGTTCTACGACAGACAGTCAAACCGGGTACACCTCCAGACTTTGTCCTAAAAGTGAGTACACTCAACACATGTCAGATGTATTAACACACATGTTTGCAGCCAGTGAGGCAACGTGACAGCTTAGTAGTTCATGTGGTTTAGCATCTGAAGGTCCGTGTTCAGTTCCCTATATGGGTGCAGTTGGTCCTTTCCTGGGATCCCTGGCTGTTATGTTGCTGGAATATTGCTGGAGTATAGCTGGAGTATTGCAGGAATAATGCTAGTGTATAGCTGGAATATTGCTGGAATAATGCTGGAATAATGCTGGAGTATTGCTGGAATATTGCTGGAATAATGCTAGAGTATAGCTGGAATATTGCTGGAATAATGCTAGAGTATAGCTGGAATATTGCTGGAATAATGCTGGAGTATTGCTGGAATAATGCTAGAGTATAGCTGGATTATTGCTGGAATAATGCTAGAGTATAGCTGGAATATTGCTGGAATAATGCTAGAGTATAGCTGGATTATTGCTGGAATAATGCTGGAATAATGCTAGAGTATAGCTGGAATATTGCTGGAATAATGCTAGAGTATAGCTGGATTATTGCTGGAATAATGCTAGAGTATAGCTGGAATATTGCTGGAATAATGCTAGAGTATAGCTGGATTATTGCTGGAATATTGCTGGAATAATGCTAGAGTATAGCTGGAATATTGCTGGAATAATGCTAGAGTATAGCTGGATTATTGCTGGAATAATGCTAGAGTATAGCTGGAATATTGCTGGAATAATGCTAGAGTATAGCTGGATTATTGCTGGAATAATATAGAGCTGGATTATTGCTGGATTATTGCTGGAATAATGCTAGAGTATAGCTGGATTATTGCTGGAATATTGCTGGAATAATGCTAGAGTATAGCTGGATTATTGCTGGAATAATGCTAGAGTATAGCTGGAATAATGCTGGAATAATGCTAGAGTATAGCTGGATTATTGCTGGAATATTGCTGGAATAATGCTAGAGTATAGCTGGAATAATGCTAGAGTATAGCTGGAATATTGCTGGAATAATGCTGGAGTATTGCTGGAATAATGCTAGAGTATAGCTGGAATATTGCTGGAATAATGCTAGAGTATAGCTGGATTATTGCTGGAATATTGCTGGAATAATGCTAGAGTATAGCTGGAATATTGCTGGAATAATGCTAGAGTATAGCTGGAATATTGCTGGAATAATGCTAGAGTATAGCTGGAATATTGCTGGAATAATGCTAGAGTATAGCTGGATTATTGCTGGAATATTGCTGGAATAATGCTAGAGTATAGCTGGAATATTGCTGGAATAATGCTAGAGTATAGCTGGATTATTGCTGGAATATTGCTGGAATAATGCTAGAGTATAGCTGGATTATTGCTGGAATATTGCTGGAATAATGCTAGAGTATAGCTGGATTATTGCTGGAATAATGCTAGAGTATAGCTGGATTATTGCTGGAATATTGCTGGAATAATGCTAGAGTATTGCTGGAATATTGCTGGAATAATGCTAGAGTATAGCTGGATTATTGCTGGAATAATGCTGGAATAATGCTAGAGTATAGCTGGAATATTGCTGGAATAATGCTAGAGTATAGCTGGATTATTGCTGGAATAATGCTGGAGTATAGCTGGAATATTGCTGGAATAATGCTAGAGTATAGCTGGATTATTGCTGGAATATTGCTGGAATAATGCTAGAGTATAGCTGGAATATTGCTGGAATAATGCTAGAGTATAGCTGGATTATTGCTGGAATAATGCTAGAGTATAGCTGGAATATTGCTGGAATAATGCTAGAGTATAGCTGGATTATTGCTGGAATAATGCTAGAGTATAGCTGGATTATTGCTGGATTATTGCTGGAATAATGCTAGAGTATAGCTGGATTATTGCTGGAATATTGCTGGAATAATGCTAGAGTATAGCTGGATTATTGCTGGAATAATGCTAGAGTATAGCTGGAATATTGCTGGAATAATGCTAGAGTATAGCTGGATTATTGCTGGAATATTGCTGGAATAATGCTAGAGTATAGCTGGAATATTGCTAGAGAATAGCTGAATATTGCTGGAATAATGCTAGAGTATAGCTGGAATAATGCTAGAGTATAGCTGGAATATTGCTGGAATAATGCTAGAGTATAGCTGGATTATTGCTGGAATATTGCTGGAATAATGCTAGAGTATAGCTGGAATATTGCTGGAATAATGCTAGAGTATAGCTGGAATATTGCTGGAATAATGCTAGAGTATAGCTGGAATATTGCTGGAATAATGCTAGAGTATAGCTGGATTATTGCTGGAATATTGCTGGAATAATGCTAGAGTATAGCTGGATTATTGCTGGAATAATGCTAGAGTATAGCTGGATTATTGCTGGAATATTGCTGGAATAATGCTAGAGGATAGCTGGATTATTGCTGGAATATTGCTGGAATAATGCTAGAGAATAGCTGGAATATTGCTGGAATAATGCTGGAGTATAGCTGGAATAATGCTAGAATAATGCTGGAATAATGCTTCAAATAGCATTAAACCAAACTCAATAACTCATACTTGCACTAAATCAATAAGATCATTAAACAAGATTTTCATTTTTGTGTGTGTTTAAATGTACATTATCTGTTTATCATAATATCAATGGGAAAGAGTGATGGTGTCAGATATCATATATTTTTGTTGTAGGTCTGATGAATGACATTTGTCTATATGTCTGTAAGACAGTTTGTATTGCCCAATTGTCTTGATAATGTTAAGGTTATACAAATGTATAATACTCGAGTTTCAAAAATTATGACGTAAACATTCCCTCTGGATTATGGTAGCCTTTATTCCTGTGGTTACACAGATACATACAAAAAATGAAATGAAATTTTAAACACTAAGTCATAGCTATTCCTAGTGGTATGTGTGATTTGACTACTGAATTATCTCCCCTGATCCTGACATCACGGCATTGTTGTTTGAAAACCCTCCATAATTTTTCTGTATGGTCTACATACAAGACGCATAGAAGTGAAGTGAAATTTCTCTCAATTATAAGGCTTCTTTTTCTTCATCAAAGCTACAGAAATTTGTCAGTTAAATCACATTGGTCAATATGACAATCACATTCCTTTTTCATATCATTAATTGCTGTTTACTGTTAACAAAGATCTGTAGTCTGTGCCATTATGGGTCACATGACCATGAATATTACCAATTTCAGATTAATTAATAATAATAATTATATGAATAATTAATTATCCCTTACCATATTAGGAAAATTGCAAAGATCAACATGGGGTATTCTGAACGAAAGTTACAGTCTGTACAACTGATTCCATCATTGTCCTCCTTTATCATGTTTATGTCTTTCTACATACAGTTAACAAATTATATTTCAAAGCTTAGCATGGAATGGAAATCGCCAGTTTAAAACTGGCTCTGTTTAAACTGTTTCCTGATTGGCCAATGTCAACTTATTATTTGTCATTTCATTGGGAATTCAGAAAAGGTCCTTCTGATGCAACCTATTTTGTCCCCAAGACATTGGTAAGAACTTTTTTCAGAAACAGCTATTACTGAAGAATCATGAATAAATGTCTACATTGTCTGTGTATTTTTAAAGATTATGTTGCTATCTTTTTTCAGGTTACAATAGACCGACATCCAGTCAGATTCTTCGTGCATAAAAGGCCACATGTTGATTATTTTTTGGAAGTTGTAAGTTTATTTTATCATTCTCCCATTCCACATTACATGAAATAATACTGGCACCTGCTTCATGTCATCAATAGTTTCAGTGTCTGTAGTATCCACCTCCTTGTAGTTGTGGCAGTTGGTAGCCTTGTGGGTAAAGCGTTCCCTCGTCAACCTCAAGACCTGGGTTTGATTCCCTACATTGTTACAATATGTGAAGCCCATTTCTAGTGCCCACTGCTTTGATATTGCTGGAATATTGCTAAAGGAAGATTAATACTAGACTCACTCATTCACTTGTGTAGTTCTGGAGGGGCGGTGGGGTAGCCTAATGGTTAAAGCATTGGCTCTGAAGACCCGGTTCGAATCCCCACATTGTGAAGCCCATTTCTAGTGGCATGATGTTGCAGGAATATTGCAAAGTAAAACAAGCTCAGTCAAAGTGTAGTTCTGGCTGAAGAGTTTCTCCTTGGTTGTGGCAAAGAACTGTTAAAAGGCTTATACTTGTTTGGCAAAAAAACCAAGATGTGTGAGTATAATATGTCTGAGTGTGTTATGTTAACTGGTATAGTGTCTAGATGAGCTTTCACTACAAAACATGTGTTAGTCAGGTTAGTTGAAGCATTGTGGGGGAAGTTAGGTGGCCTAGTGGTTAAAGCATTCACTTGTCACGCCAAAGACATGGGTTAGAATCCCCACATGGGTGGAATGTGTGACGCGTCATTTCTGGTGTTCACCACTGTGATATTGCTGAATTTTGTCTAAAACCGGCTTAAAACCATAATCACTCACTCGCAAAGCATGACATGACATGGTATCTAGATGAGCTGTCACAAAAAAACAATTCAAGCAATGCCATGTCATGGTATCTAGATGAGCACTCAGTACTATTTCAAACATCATCAAGCATCCGACCACATGTGCAGTACTGTTTGTATACAAGTGCAATAATCTTTCATGCATCATAAACTCCTGTGTCACCTCACCTCGTGGGTTCATGCAACAGTTGGAAGGAAAGATAATTGTGATAATGTGTTTTTGAGCATTGGCTTCACCGTTATTCATACATTTTTGAGAACATCCCTACCAGCTGTTTTATTATCGTTGTTCAACAGTTGATGCTCCAATGACAGTAACAGATTGATGAAAGAATAAGTGTCGCGTTTGTTTGATATGAATAAATCATTCTATATATTTTCGAAGTTAATATTGTTCATCTGTCATACTGAAAAATCAAATTGTTCAACTGGAAATTTGCTGAAGTTTGTCCCTGTGTTGAACTTTTGGAGGGGTCGTGAAGAACACAAGACAAAACATGCCAGCTGTTTATATTTTGGTTGAATCATCACAATATTTTGAATCAACTATTGTCAGCATGGTCAGTTTGATTAAGTTAGAATTTTGTAAAACATGATAATACAGTAATATCAAGTAGTTATTGACCTTGACTGGATTTATCTAAACCTGAAACTTGTGTTGGCTTGCTTCACAGATTGAAGGATGAAGGTGGATTCAGTTCAAAACACACTGTACTGATGATGATTAGTCTTATAACAGTGTTTGATCCCAGTTTTCCAAGATAATCCTCATTCCCTATTTGGTTGGAGTGGGTAGCCTTGTGGTTAAAGCTTCCGCTTGTCACGCCAAAGACCAGGGTTCGATTCCCCACATGGGTGCAATGTGTGAAGCCCATTTCTGGTGTCCCCGGCCATGCTATTGCTGGAATACTGCTAAAAGCGGCATAAAATTAAACTCACTCACTCACTCTGAGGTTGCCTCTTTGCATGATATTGTTGGTTGAAAACTACCCCTGCTTGTGAGTTCACGGCTCATTCCACAAAGCAATCGTAGCGATACTTTTACTTTCAGATTGTAGATATCTGAAGCCAACAAAGCAACACAATCATTAATTCCTAAATACTTACATTTATGCAAAACTGCCATGAATATATGAAAGAGTTCACTCTCCAAATATCAATGGGAGAGAATGACAGTTCCAAAATGGCCGTCGTGACAACCATTGTGTTTGACTTGGCATGAATGCTTTTATGTTTAAATCCAAAAATCAATCCATCAATCGAGAGCCATGTTTCACAAAACAACAGAAGAGCTAAGGTGATTGTAGCTCCCATACTTTAACTTGAAAACTGTCAAATCGGATCAGCTGGGAAGGCTTTTGGTTGCATATTTGTAAATATTTTGATCAAGGCTAGAAACATGAAGTTCATTATAAGTGCCCCTAGCATCACCCCAGGTCAGTTATGTCTCCAGTTATCTGAGACAGCATTGATGTAAAGTTGTTGATGTGACAGTATTTCTTTCGATCCCTCACTAATGATGCTTGTGTTGCAGGTGAGCCAGTGGTACGACCTGGTAGTCTTCACAGCCAGTATGGAGATATATGGCGCGGCAGTCGCCGACAAACTCGACAATAACAGGGGGGTTTTACGAAGGAGATACTATAGACAAGTGAGTACATTGATTGCAATATCGATGAAGTGAGGGACAACTTCTAAAGACAAGGGAGTTAATTGACTATCTTAATCCTGTTTCCACCATTGTCTACCTTGGCTTGAATGTAGTCCATCAGCAGCTGTAACAAGTTATGTCAGTGTATGAAATAAGGCCCATCCGACCACCCGACGGTCTAAATTTACAGCTAGCCAGCCCCATGGTCTGGTAATTTTTTTTTTATCTTTCATACATCTGAATAAATTCACCATATTTAGTCTGGTTAAATCCGTTTTGGGCTGGTAATATTTTGAAGTTACCAGCACTGATGTCTGGCTGGAGTTTTGGCTTATTTCATACACTGGTTATGTCCCTTCTCTCTTGCTCCTGTTGGCCAATCAAATTTGCCATCTCATATCTCTTGCATTGTTACTTCAAACAAAATAGCAGCAACCAGTCAAGAAGATCAAAATCTTTGTTGAAATAAAAAAAGGTTTTACCTTGGAGGTGATCAAATTACTTAAGTACCTTGAATTAATAAATGGAGTGATTTCAAAAATATCTGTCAAAAGACTGCTGAGGATTCATAAGCAAATCATGTTCAAGTCCCACGGTCGATTGGACTTGACCTAACTGAAATCCCAAGCAAGGGTGCTAACTCTGCTCTTATATGGTCATTTGACTCCTTAGCCTCAGGTAGATTTTGAAGCAGGACCAATTCAGTTTGTCATTTATGGAGACAAGACCTAACAATACGAGGGCTTGTCGGGATCTTTGTCCAGTGTTTGTTCCTTTTATTACCTTTATCAGAAAAAGCTTTTTGAGGAATACAAACCTAACAAATACAAATATTCCCCTTTCACTGTAGGTGACATGTCTGTAAGCTCAATAACCACAGCATTTTATGTCTTGCCTTCCATATTTAGAACTTTAGTAACTTCCTCAGTCAGTCCTATTTGAGAATGAGAACAGTGGGGTTGCCTAGTGGTTAAAGTGTTTGCTCATGCGAAAACCAGGTTTGATTCCTTAATCGTCCTACAATGTGTGAAGCCCATTTCTGGTGTCCCCCACCTTTATATTGCTGGAATAAAAACGGCTTAAAACCTCCTCCCTCTCCCACCCCCCACCCCTCACTCACTCCTGTATTTATGAATTGATTCTACATCAACTTTCAACAGTTATTTTTATTCTGACTAATATTTCCAATCTGTCACAAGCAGTAGTTGTGTGAAGATTCTTTGTCTCAAGTATTGATTCCTGTCACATGCCACACTGAAACATTGATCACCAGTTTTGTGCTTACCTGCAAACAATGGCTGTTGATTTTTTGAAAGATTTGTGTAGCCATAAATATATTTCATTCCAACAGAGATCCATAATACTCATGTTGTCTGTGTTCAACTGAGCTTTGAAACAACCAAGCCTATAATTTGATCAGCCTGGAATATATGTCACTGTGAGAGCATGCGTAAAGGCCATTACGTTGATGTGGTCATGTTTGTTATGGATTCTCTGTCAGGGGTGGAAATAACTTTAAAATTGCTGGTGTACTCCAGTACAATGGCACATGTAAAATCACTTGCCCTGATAAGTTTTCCACTATACCGGCCGTTTTCTTGTTGATTTTTTAAATAAACAACATTATTAACATTGGAAAGTCAACTGGACACCGGTACAGCGTGATATACAAATTTGCTTGCCCGACAGAAAAAAACACTTGACTCGGACGTCGGGCAATGGGTTATTTCCACCCTGTCTGTGGTAAATGAAATATTGACATGATTGAGTGAGTGAGTTTAGTTTTACACCGCACTCAGCAATATTCCAGCTATATGGTGGTGGTCTGTAAATAATTGAGTCTGGACCAGATAATCCAGTGATCAACAACAGGAGCATAAATATGCGCAATTGGAAACCGATGACATGTGACAACCAAGTCAGCGAGCCTCACTACCCAATCCCGTTAGTCGCCTCTTACGACAAACATGGGTTACTGAAGATCAATATTCTAACCCAGACCTTCACGGGTATAATGAAATATTGCTGAGAGCTTGTACATACCACCTGGTGTCAAAATGTGTCGTAACTGAAGTAATGGTCAGCGTTAAGCTAATCACTCTGTCCTCCACTGTGTTTAACTTGGATGACATCTGACATTGTACAAGAGACATTGTCAGGCAAATTGGGGAAAGAATGGTTCAAAATATGGATTTGTTCCTTTTGTTATTTTTCAAAGGTATTTTAACAATGTACTTTAGACAGCATTCAAAGCAATAATGAGAATCAAAGCATTAGGAAACCTCATTATCTTTTTGGTCCTGTTAATATCAGCAAAGAAAACCCAATCACCTCAACAATTATTTGATGCCATGCTGGATTGACATTAACCAAGAAACGGTCAGTTCCAAGGAAGAATCTTCAAAGACATTTCCTGGGGCCAGATATCAGCCTCTGACTTGGTCATGATACATAATGGCTTGAGATGGTACCTTAGTGTTAAGGCATTCACTTGTCATGCTACATGGAGGTTTGCTGGGAATAGCTGCAACATTGCTGATAGAGTGTGAAGCAATTTTCACTTACTCACTCACTCACTCGTACGCTCACTGCCCACATTGGTACAATGAGTGAAGCCCAGTTTTGGTGTCTCCATGCCCTGATATTGCTGGAATATTGCTAAAAGCAGCATAAAATAAATAAATGGCTTGAGATGGTTGGTTAGTGGTTAAAGTATTCACTTGTCACGCTGAAGAACTGAGTTCGATTCCCAACAATGGTACAATGTGTGAAGCCCATTTCTGGTGTCCCCCCACCATGATATTGCTGGAATATTGATAAAAGTGGCGTAAAACTATACTCACTCACTTATGTTATGAATATTGTTGAACTTCCTTTGAGCAAGTTTACATGGATGACATTTACAACTCACAGAATTATTCCTGACTTGGAAGAAATTCGATAAATAACTAAGATGGTTAACAGAATCATTAATGTTGTCTAATTTTCAAAACATTTTATTCTATGTGCATACTAAGGCGATGTAGTTCAGATACACGGCAGGAGGACAAATAATGGAGTGTGGACTTTGTGTTTGTTTATCAGGTAGTGGCATACTCATTAATGGGGTAGGTTATTCATGAATTACTGGCTTCACGTGTTACAACAAGTATTCTAAAATACGGCTGAGTAAGTTTGAACAAAGGACCCATTTTGAATTATATGGGTGTATTGTGGCCTCTTGAGGGTAACACGAGATGCAATATCCGTTCTTTAGGATCTAGGGTAATAGGGATCCTTTGTATAATGCCTGAGGGGCTGGAATGGGTTTTGCAGAGTTGTGTCCCTTTGGTGTGCCAGGAACCTGTGGTAGTGGGTCTGGGTTTGTCTGCACATACATGTGCTGCTGGGTTTCACCTAAAACTAGGACAGCAGCAGCACTTTACTCCTACATCAAGATGACAAACTACAATATGACCAAAATACTCTGCAAAGAATCATTAAATAAAACTCCAAATATGTGGATCAGCTGGTCACAAACTGTGCCGATTTGCAAGGTGTGCTCTCTAGTTTTCACTACCGGCATAAACATAAAATTGTTCAGGTTCATTATTCAACCTGTGATGATCCAGGTTAGAATTGGTCTCCAGTAACCCATGCTTATCGTAAGAGGTGACTAACGGATCGGGTGGTTAGGCTTGTTGGCTTGGATGACACATGTCATCGGTTCCCAATTGCGTACATCGATGCTCATGCAGTTGATCACCAGGTTATCTGGTCCAGACTCGATTAGTTACAGACCTCCGCCGTATAGCTGTAATGTTGCTGAGTGTGCTGTACAACAACAAACAAACATTTAAACTCTTCATCATAGCTCTAGTAATGAAAAACACATTGTGATGTTCGAAACAACTCTAGTTTCATGTGATCTAAAAAAACCTGAATTTCACCACCCTGGTAGTATTTTGAGCCGTGTATTATGTAAAATGGGGTCATGAAACTGCCTGTTTATCATAAATAATCCACAGACATTAAATGTTCATGATATTGAAGTTTTTCTATAATGAACAATAAGACAAGGAAACAGGGCACTGTCAGGGACAACTAAAGCTGATCACGTATTGATTTCACAGCTTTGTGGTGGAGTGTTTAGAGCTGCTTTCGAGGATTAAAATTACCGTAAAAAGATTGCATACTGTATTGAAGTTTGAAAGTAATACTTTAATGAATTTCAAAGGTCATGTGTTCAATAAACTTGCTTTTTGAGGAAACGACTGTTGATAAATGGGTGCCAGCTGCAGAGATTACAAATATTATGTTGATTAGACCAGACAGTGTTTGAGGGGAGGCGGGGTTGAAAGGTATGCTCGTCACACCGAAAACCCGGGTTAGATTCCCCACATGGGTACAATTTGTGAAGCCCATTTTTGACGTCCCCCACCATGATATTGCTGGAATATTGCGCAGAGCAGCGTAAAATTAAACTCACTGACTTCCCCTGCTTGTGAGTTTGTATCACATGGGTACAGTGAGTGAAGCCCATTTTTGGTGTACCCAATGTGATGTTGATAGAATATTTCTCAACATGGCATAAAACCATACTCATTTAATGACAGTGTTGGAAAACATTATGGATTATTTGGTCCGTGAAGTATTTGTAAGGACCACATACATCGTCATATTTTAATGGTCGCAGGTAGTTCTTGATATATATAATGTTTAATTTTTAAAACCACCATGTCATGCTGATGATGATTGTTAAAAGAACCAGTTGGGTAGTTCTGCATGTTAAACATTCGCTCATCAAAGAAAGACAGGTGTTTGTTTACCTGTATAGGTGCAATGTGTCATGTCCATTCCTGTGTCTACCTGTGTACCCGCTCATACTTGTTGCCCAAAACATAGCGTTCATATTATTTTCTGAGTTGGACTGATTTGCCCTGTGATAATGATTATGTAGGAAATTGTCTAGTCAGTCTTACAGTCCCTGAACCACATTATTTTCCCAACTGTCTATCCTTCCCTGCAATGCTAGAACCCTGAATGAAGATTTCCTCAGGTTCTGACTTTTCCATCTCAATGAGGCTTCTTTCCAAGTTAAATGGGTTTATTTGTGACTGTCACAATTATATGTATTCAGAGACGAAGCGTTAGTCTCTAGAAATTGTGTTTTCTATGGTTAAACTGACTACATGTTATCACTTGTCTACAAGTGCTAAACAGGTGAATTGTGTGCCAGTGTGGTTGGCCATGCATGCTGTTGTTATGACAAGCTTGATTCCAAGCTCAGGTTGCACTGGTGAGATCAAAATTCTTTTGTCACAATGAACATGATAAATATGTTTACATGGTTTGATGTCTTCTTTCTCCGACCGCCTCCGTGGTGTAGTGGTTAGAGCGTCCGCCCGGAGAGCGGAAGGTCGCGGGTTCGATCCCCCGACCCGTCATACCAAAAGACGTAAAAATATGGTACTTGTTGGTCCCCGTCCGGCGTTCGGCATTAATGGGTACAACAAGGACTGGTCGGCTCGGGAGTCAGTATAATGTGTCTGAGTGGGGTATTCATGCTTCACTGCGGCGTGGTATCTCAGTGGGCTAGCACTATAAAACCAGCTTAAGTCTGGGCTAGTGCAAGCAGCCGCACCTACACATACACACGCATGCACGTCGTCATATGAGCAAAATATTCTCAAGCACGACGTTAAACCCAATTTCACCTCACCTCACCTTGTTTCTCCAGTTTTTTGAGAGCCATTATTTGATGAGAGTTTTGTGTGGAAATTGAATTGTATGGTTTCTTTGTTTCAGCATTGTAATTTAGACTGTGGTAGCTACACAAAAGATCTGTCCAATATATGCCCAGACCTGTCAAGTATCTTCATTCTAGACAACTCTCCAGTAGCCTACAGATCCTATCCAAGTAAGTAGCCTACAGATCCTATCCAAGTAAGTAGCCTACAGATCCTATCCAAGTAAGTAGCCTACAGATCCTATCCAAGTAAGTAACTGACAATCACATCCAAGTAAGTAGCCTACAGATCCTATCCAAGTAAGTAGCCTACAGATCCTATCCAAGTAAGTAGCCTACAGATCCTATCCAAGTAAGTAGCCTACAGATCCTATCCAAGTAAGTAGCCTACAGATCCTATCCAAGTACGTAGCCTACAGATCCTATCCAAGTAAGTAGCCTACAGATCCTATCCAAGTAAGTAGCCTACAGATCCTATCCAAGTAAGTAGCCTACAGATCCTATCCAAGTAAGTAACTGACAATCACATCCAAGTACGTAGCCTACAGATCCTATCCAAGTAAGTAGCCTACAGATCCTATCCAAGTAAGTAACTGACAATCACATCCAAGTAAGTAGCCTACAGATCCTATCCTAATAGCCACAGATCCTATCCAAGTAACTGACAATCACATCCAAGTAAGTAGCCTACAGATCCTATCCAAGTAAGTAGCCTACAGATCCTATCCAAGTAAGTAACTGACAATCACATCCAAGTAAGTAGCGTACAGATCCTATCCAAGTAAGTAGCGTACAGATCCTATCCAAGTATGTAGCCTACAGATCCTATCCAAGTAAGTAGCCTACAGATCCTATCCAAGTAAGTAGCCTACAGATCCTATCCAAGTAAGTAGCCTACAGATTCTATCCAAGTACGTAGCCTACAGATCCTATCCAAGTCAGTAGCCTACAGATCCTATCCAAGTAAGTAGCCTACAGATCCTATCCAAGTAAGTAGCCTACAGATCCTATCCAAGTAAGTAGCCTACAGATCCTATCCAAGTAAGTAGCCTACAGATCCTATCCAAGAACGTTGCCTACAGATCCTATCCAAGTACATAGCCTACAGATCCTATCCAAGTAAGTAGCCTACAGATCCTATCCAAGTAAGTAGCCTACAGATCCTATCCAAGTAAGTAACTGACAATCACATCCAAGTAAGTAGCCTACAGATCCTATCCAAGTAAGTAGCCTACAGATCCTATCCAAGTAAGTAACTGACAATCACATCCAAGTAAGTAGCCTACAGATCCTATCCAAGTAAGTAGCCTACAGATCCTATCCAAGTAAGTAACTGACAATCACATCCAAGTAAGTAGCCTACAGATCCTATCCAAGTAAGTAGCCTACAGATCCTATCCAAGTAAGTAACTGACAATCACATCCAAGTAAGTAGCGTACAGATCCTATCCAAGTAAGTAGCCTACAGATCCTATCCAAGTATGTAGCCTACAGATCCTATCCAAGTAAGTAGCCTACAGATCCTATCCAAGTAAGTAGCCTACAGATCCTATCCAAGTAAGTAGCCTACAGATCCTATCCAAGTAAGTAGCCTACAGATCCTATCCAAGTAAGTAGCCTACAGATCCTATCCAAGTAAGTAGCCTACAGATCCTATCCAAGTAAGTAGCCTACAGATCCCATCCAAGTAATAGTGAGCCCACAGATCCTATCCAAGTAAGTAGCCTACAGATCCCATCCAAGAACGTTGCCTACAGATCCTATCCAAGTACATAGCCTACAGATCCTATCCAAGTAAGTAGCCTACAGATCCTATCCAAGTAAGTAGCCTACAGATCCTATCCAAGTACGTAGCCTACAGATCCTATCCAAGTACGTAGCCTACAGATCCTATCCAAGTACGTTGCCTACAGATCCTATCCAAGTAAGTAGCCTACAGATCCTATCCAAGTAAGTAGCCTACAGATCCTATCCAGGTAAGTAGCCTACAGATCCTATCCAAGTACGTAGCCTACAGATCCTATCCAAGTAAGTAGCCTACAGATCCTATCCAAGTAAGTAGCCTACAGATCCTATCCAAGTAAGTAGCCTACAGATCCTATCCAAGTACGTAGCCTACAGATCCTATCCAAGTAAGTAGCCTACAGATCCTATCCAAGTAAGTAGCCTACAGATCCTATCCAAGTAAGTAGCCTACAGATCCTATCCAAGTAACGTAGCCTACAGATCCTATCCAAGTACATAGCCTACAGATCCTATCCAAGTAAGTAGCCTACAGATCCTATCCAAGTAAGTAGCCTACAGATCCTATCCAAGTAAGTAACTGACACATCCAAGTAAGTAACCGGCAATCATATTCAAGTGTGTAGCCAAAAGGTCATATAATATGAAGAATATACATTTGTAATTCACACACAGCTTTTCTATGACTTCTGGCATACGTACCCAGGTAACATATTTCGAACATTTCACAAGAGTATGTCTACAGTAGCTCTTATGAAGCTAAAATATTCAAATAAGTATAGACTTTACCAAACACTTGACAGATATTTCTGACAAATAATGTCATATGCTTTACATTAAAACATAATATTAATTTCATTTTCAATGGAACCACATTCACAATTTTCTTATCAATATACCTTCTGACATTCATTTCATTAATAGATGTTGCATGGTATTTTACTGGGCAGTGGGGTAGTCTTGTAGTTAAAGCGTAAGCTCGTTATGCTGAAGACCCTGGTTCGATTCCCCACATGGGTACAATGTGTGTAGCCTATTTCTGGTGTCCCTGGCTGTGATATTGCTGGAATATTGCTAAAAGCAGCGTAAAACTATATTCACTCACTCACTACATGGTATTTAACATTTAATAATGGTTTTATGTTTTAAAAATACCTTAGATACAAGGATTGGTTGATGTTGGCTTGTATAACTTGACATTCCCCCGTCATGTTGCAGATAACGCCATACCCATCAAGTCCTGGTTCAGCGACGCCACAGACACGGCACTCCTCTGCCTCTTGCCTATGTTAGACGCTCTCAGGTTTTGCAGCGATGTGCGCAGCGTCCTCAGTCGGAATTTACATCTACAGCGGGCGTGGTAGCGACGCCCATTTCATGCCCATCCTTGTACATAGCAACTGTTAGCACTGTCATTGATGTCGTCCTCATCACCTAGGTCACCCACCATCCAACAGGAGCGTCGGTGTTGATTCTAGGAACTATTTTACCCCGGAATGAATCCCCTCCTGATACTCTCTATACAAACTCAACCTGCTGTCCTGTGTTGGGTGAAGCCATCTTCTGTTGTAGGAAGGTGATTGATCATGTTTATTCCAGACAAGGCAGTGGTATACAAACTCTGTTGATGAACTAGTTCTGATAAGGAGGTGAATAGGAAAACCCTTGTGGATTCATTTGTAGAAATTCTTTGTATATCTCAGACATTGAGCAGGATTGGAAGAACTGATACTGGAAAGTTTGGAACCAGAATTACTGATAAGTTTGGAAGAAAAATTATTGGCAAGTTTAGAAGCAAAATTATTGGCAAGTTTGGAAGCAAAATTAATACCATATTTGAAATAAGAATATTGTTAAATTCAGAAGAAACATTAACTGCAAGTTTGGAAGAAGAATTATTGACACGTTTATATAAGACATTATGTTTTGTATTTTATTGATCTCTTTCAAATTCAATTGCATTATATGTTGTTTTTCATAGGCTTTTAGGTGACTGCAGGCAATGCCTCTGAATAGTTCAGTTAACTGCTCATTTGGATTCAGACCTGCCAGGACATAGCAGATTTAAGTGAAAGGATAATTGTAAATTTCTTTTGTTTCAATGTCCATTGGGTCCCTTTCCACACTGGACTATCACCATTCAGAGACGATTTTGATTTCCTGAACTGTTGTGTTCTCTTCTACTTTATGCTCAATGTCTTGGGTACACAGTTGGTTGATTGAAGACCAATCAGGTGCAGAGACAATCATGCATCACCATGACCAATCATGCATCACCATGATGCTGGTTGGTTATTGCCACTCAAAGCTCAACTTGTTAGAAGTTAGACTTGAAAGGCTTTGTTTTGTATTTGAAAGCAGTAGTGTCCAGTGTTTGTTCTAAACAGGTCATCTGTACAATAGCTGACTGCTGGGCAGAGTTGCAGTCCTTTACCAGGCTTTCTTCCCACCAACAAGTTCAAATTAGATTATCAAATTCAATTCCTTGAACAATCTTTAATAATTCATAATAAAATACCAGAATCAGTTTCGTGAATGGAACACTCAACTGGAAAAAATGATTCACAATTCTAATGTTTTTACTTTGTGTTCTTAAACAATAACTACAGTTCCAATGTTGCTACTTTTGTCAGGAATAATCAAGATTTGTCACAACCCAGTGAGCTTGAAGTTTCTCCTTAGACTCATCCTCTACCGTCAAGGGTAATATATGTCCATCCTGTAATAAATACCTTGGACCGTCCAGGGAAATATTTGTCCATTCTGTTACTAGATACCTTGGATCCATCCACCTCTATTTCTTCACTTAGAGTCCAGCTCAAATGACACAAGACTCAAACTGGCTCCCCTAAAAATCTGTTGCTGTGATTGAAGGAGTAATATTATCCCCTAACTTGTTTGTTGCGGCCCATCTGAAATACAAATTGGGATACCTGATAGCAGATCCTTCCCATCTTAAACGGTCAGTTTTGTTTGGGAAATTATATTAAGGAATAACTCGTATGAGGCAGCAGTTTGGATAGATCTGTGTCAAACTCTTGTAAAAACATCCTAGAGAATTGACTTTTGAATCAGAGATATTGTAACAAATTGGTCAAGGTAGTTTAGTGTAACATCCCGTAGAGTTGACTTTTGAGATGAAGCTATTGTGGATATGGTCCAGGGAGTTCAGCATAACAGAATGGCTGTGTACTACAGTGGACGATGGAGGAGGGTGTAGACTAGACTCTGGAGGGACTGATACATACCCCTTGTATGCCATGTTTACCTCACTGAGTGAAGTACCAGGCAGGTTCTCTTCTGTGTTGCCATGGAAATCACGTCACAATGTTTGAGAATTTGTGCTTGGATTCTTTGAGGAGAGAGTCTGGAGTGCTCACATACTGAAGCATGGGCAGCTGTGTCTGTATGGCAAAGCATTTTAGTGCAGTAAGATTTCATGTTTCACAGGCTGAATGTACACAAGAAAGTTGAATGTGGCTTAATATTTGAGCTGCTTATGTGTCCACATTTATGATTATTCTGAAGACAAAGAAGAATTATGATTGCCATATTATTGACATGTAAGTTTTATGTGAAATCGGAGAGAACTATAGTGATATGTGAAGCTATCTTTATTGAGATTACAAACCAATGTTAAAATACATCACTTGCCCATGTAAAGGGAGGCAACTCTGTTTCATGATTCACTAAGAACTAAGGCTTGCTTGTTGAGGCTTTGCATAAATGCTTGAATAACAATTCATTTGTAAATATTGCTGTAATTTATGAAAACTAAATTGTTTCGGCTGTTTGAATATTTATGTCAATTGAGAATTATGTAACAATTATAGATCAAAATTTGGATACTCAGGGTTTAACATGTCGACTCTAAGGTTCTCAGTACCAGCAACTGTTATGATGTAAGATTTTGTGATGGAGTGACTGATACTGAATTAGAATCATGAAGATCAATTTGTACTTTTGGGAGGAAGTTTTACAGATAAATACAGCATAAGTATGTTCCGAGTTATGAGAGAAGAATAACATCATTAAGCTCACCAGAACATAAAGTGCTTATGTTATAATTATAGGTTTCCAGCACTGATTTCAAAGAATGTTCTGCAAGTGAGTTGCCTCTGGCTGTGAACATGGGCAATACCTGGCATAAGAAGATTATTTCTGTTCCAATGCAGAAATATGTTTCAACATGAATGTTTTGGCTTATTTTTCTGAGAACAAACACTGTTTTCATTTACCCAAGAAACTAGGATATTTTGGCATTTTGTTAAAAAGTGATCATAGGAAAACTACATTCCCCACGTAGAAGATTCCATTTTATGAAGAACATCTGTTCTCATACCAGCCTAGCTTTACACATTAACTGAATTAACATTATTTTTGATGAAGTGTGCTTTGAACTAATCCTGGTCTATTTGGATCACAAGTGCTATGTGTGTGATGTTCAAGTGTAGGTGATGCTGTTGGGGAAGACGCTGACTTGGAGTGTTCATTTGTAGTTTGGATAAGGTAGGGAATTAGAAAAGGCCAACTTCTTGAAAAGCAGGTCTGAGGACGCTTCCAGATCTTGCTCAGGCGAATCCAAATTTGAAAGATTTGTGGGTTCTTGATGTCAGCTTTCAAAACTGAGTCGGATTTATGTCTTTCCTGTCTTGATTTGAAAATATTTACATCAGTAAAAGAAGAATTCCTGAGAACATAAACTTTCCCTTGATAGGAAATGTTTTTTATGATGTCAGGTTGGTTATATGTAAAAATGACAAAACATCCACAATTTTGAAATGATACAGCTTTTATTATTTGCATCTGGAACTCCCTGTTAACATACCATTTCAAGAAATGAGATACTTGGGGTGGAACAATCATGGCCAGTGCATTTCTAATCAGGATATTTGTTTTATATTGTGCCGACAACTTTACCTTATCATGATAACATGTTTACAAAGTACCGTATTCAGCCCCAGTGACAACATTTACCAACTTCAGTGAAACTCCATGAGCTTCAGAAACTTCTTCCCATTGATATTAGGAAATGTCTCTGTAAATGTAAGGGACATAACTCATGTTAATCTTGAAATGTGTAACTCCTGGCGATTTCACTGGGAATGGGTAAGATATGAGTGTAGGGGTTTTATGTGTGTGATTGTCTTTGAAAACAGCAGTTACTGACTGATAAAAACATTAAAAAATTAATGGATTGTCTTTTTACTTTTATTTTAAAAAATGTTTGCGTATCTGGAATATTATCAGGTATATTTATGTAGGGACAACTGAGCACTCTCCTTCATAAAAATATATCAGATATTCACGATCTTTAATTTTTGTGCATCATAAGTGTGATTTTTAGTAGCCCATAAAAAGACGTCTGAAACTGAAGTTATTTTCACTCCCGCTGAATAATGGAGGCAGGACACAAGACTGGTAATATTTATCTCACAACAGTTAACATCACCACATCACTGTTGTAAAATGGTTTGTAAAAGTAACAAAAATTGTGAAAGGTTTAGTTTCTATATAAAAGGGTTGCAACGGCTGTGGAAGCATATCATCAGTTGTCCATGTCATGGCCTGATGATGTCATGTGTTGTCCATGTCATGGCCTGATGATGTCATGTGTTGTTTTTTTTCATGTCCATAAATTATTTTTTACTACCATGTTGAGAAATGATGATATTCATTAGCGTACTTAAGTTTGTGGACTACAGATGTTCTGAGTTGACAGGTTGGAGGGTTTGTATCTGAATGAGTGAGTGATTCAGTGGTTTAACCAAACTGCTTTAAGTAGTCGATTTTTGTTTGAGGTATATGACACTGAATTTAGTGAAATTGATCTTGTCAAAAATGCAACTCAGTTAATTGGGCCGTATTTTTAATTGGTTTATGGGTCTCAATACCCAAGGCTAAGAATGAAAAAAATATGAAAAGAGGACTAATCATTTTATCGAATAATATTTCTATTAATGCAGAAATTGAATAAAAATGTCAACTTTGAGAATCAATGCAGAAAGAGATGATTTTTGCCATTAAAACTTGCTACTTTGCAGAAAGAGATATTGGAATAACTGACCTGGCCAGCTCCAGGCACCTTGCCTTGTCCTGTCAGAATTGCACAACTACCAAATTTATGGGGAACTATCTGTAAACCAACTAAAATAAAAAAGGCCTTTGGAACAGTTGCAAATGTATTTTGCATTTTTTGTAACCTAGTCAGTTCACGGTGTCAAATATTACCTGTGTCATATTGACACATAATCAGTTGATTACAATTTGCAGTCTTGATTTAGACAGAGTTACCTGCCCCTGAAATTACAGTTAGGCAGAGTTACCTGCCCTTGAAAAGACAGTTTGGCACAGAGTAGCCATTCTGAACTTACAATTATGTTGAATGTGAAAATAAATTCTGTTGATTTCAGTGATTTTGTGAAGAATTTCGCCTTTGTCTGGCAGCAAACTTCTGTATAGTCTCCATGGCGAGTGTGTAGTGATTGGTATCAAATATTGTCGTAGTTAGCAACAATGGCGTTTGATGTTACTTTTTTCAAAGTCCTTCAGACGTATCTACAGTATGTAACCACAGATTAAGGGAAATGATGTGATCTTTTTATTTTGAAGAGACTGTCAGTAATGCTAAACTTACTCCCCTCAAGGTATTATGTTTCTGGTAATTCGGTTAGGCTAAACATGATGCAACATGGCAGAAGGTAGTTGTCTCTGGTGTCAAAATGTCCATTTTCACGATTATTTTTCCATGACCCCAATCCCTCCCAACCTGCACCAACAGGAGACGCATGTGCAGTTTAGGTGAGAACTGTAGTTGTCTGCCCTTGAATAAAGATCTGGAAAATTAAAAATGGCTACTTGGGATTGAAAACGATGCAGGGTTGAAACATGGTGACCAGAAACATAATACTTTTTACATTTGCCTCAGATTATGAGAGAAAAATGAGATATGAAGTTGTCATGTTGATTCTATTCTTGGTGCGATGGGAAGTATTCTGTTAATGTATATCAGCATGTTGGTTGGGGAGTATGATGTACGCTTTCAGAAAAAATATTGGTTGCTGCTTTTGTAGAAATATCCATGAAAAATTAGGAAGCTGATTTATGAAATATTGGGAGTTGTATTCCTACAATACCATGACAAAAACTAGTTGTTAGGAAAGCCTGTCTTCGGTTGATCATGTCCTATGGTTGTCCAGCAGGGTGAAATGAAAAAAATATTGTCAGTAAGAAGTGATTGAGTTTAGTTTTATGCTATATGGCGTCAGTCTGTAAATATCATCTTTCTGTCAGCACCTTACCTGCATTGACGAGTTACACGAAAATAACCTTGACCTCCATCATGACAAGCTAAATATGGATGTTGATATGGCCGCAAACTCAGATTGTGAGGTATTGTCGCAGCCTTTGGTGACCCTTTGAGGGCAATTTGGAATGTTGAAAGATGATAAATGTGAGGTCCTTTATAAAGATTCTTGGCGGTGGGGTAGCCTAGTGGTAAAAGCATTTGCTTGTCCCGCCGAAGACACAGGTTCGATGCCTCACATGGGTACAGTGTGTGAAGCCCATTTCTGGTGACCCCCGCGTGATATTGCTGGAATATTGCTAAAAGCCGCGTCAAACAGAACACACTCACTACAAAGATTTTCAACGCACCAGTGGATAACCATAGGAACAGATGTCTTCAGTAGATATCTATAAATCTTTATATACTGACCAAAGAAGATGTAAAGAAATAGTATTCCAGATTATGCTAATGTATCTCTGTTGCAACTATTTATACATACATGCATGCAATGCATTTGATATAATTTGATGGAATGTTTGAAGACACTTGAACCATAGTGAACACACACTGATATATCTAAAGGTTTTTGATAAAGTTTGCTTTGTAATCCGAAATATTTGATATGTGTTCTGTATTTTGAGATTGTAATAGCTTGATATGATTTCTTTGTAAAATCAAGTAAAACTTTGATTTGCTGTAATTTTGTTGACGGTTTTGTGCATAGCATTTGTCTGAGGATTGGAAGGTAGAGTATTTTGAAGTATGTGCACGAAATTTATCAGTCCGTGATGACCTGTAAACTTCCAGCTCGTGTCCAAGTTTGATATTGTACGTAGCTGCTACATGTATGAAAGAGAGAAATATATTTTATAGTTTGATTTCAAGAACTGTGATTCTTTGTCTCATTGAACATGATCAAATGGGGATCGAAATATTAACATGTTTTTTCTTAGTTGAACTTGTTGATATGCATGATGGGGACAAGGGGCAGACAACTGCTTTTCAGTGTAAATGTAGTTTTGGGGTATAATCTGTAAAGGAAATTAAAGATAGTGAACTCATTATTGTTGTGTCAGTGCTAAATGGAATGTAGTTGTATCGTTGAGAAAAGAATTTTTTTTGCTTCTGGCCATTGATAGGAGCATGGTCATCTTGTAGTTTTCGTGTTTCTTCCCATTGGGACAAATATTATTTAGTACATTTATATTTACAATCGATGACAAATTATGGAGGTCGTTGAGTGACTAGTCATTCCTGGGATAGACTAGCCAGTTGTCTGAGACGAGTGACGCTACTCCTCTGTCATATCTAATTATTTTACATTAACAAGGCGGTGAGGTTGCTGAGTGGTGACAGCATTTGCTTCTCACGCAGAAGACCCGGGTTTGATTCCCCACATGGGTACAATGTGTGAAGCACATTTCCAATGTCCCCTCCATGATATTGCTGGATTATTGCTAAAACTAAACTCACTCATTCACTTTTTTACATAAACATTTGTCAGAAAAGATCTGCATACTTGTTGGATTTGACCATTGGTCAAACACATGCAACATGTTTTTCATACCTGTAGGCTGCTTTGCCATGTGAATTTGCCGTAGGAAATATTGTGGAAGTAAATTCATAACGGAGGCAAATCATTGGAAACTGCATGATTTGCATGATCCAAAATGGCTGCCCTTCTTGCCTCTTTCTGGAAGTGTTTATTCTTGTGGAGCAGTTGTTCCCATCATGCATATCAACAACTGTGTGAAAACTTACTGTTGTTTTGTAGAAAGTATGTTTCTCGAGTGGGTGACTCTGGTCGCCTCCTGTTGATTGTAGGCTCCTGACTCACTATGTGTGGTGTGGAATATATCATGTAGTGAGGCAGAGATGACCTTTTGTAAATAAAAGATATTATCCTGTGAACTGATTGTTGCTATTATATTTGTCAAGCGGCAATTGTAATTCCTGTTAAATGATGTTTAGCTTTCCTGAATCCTATGTGAATCCCCTGGGCACTGAACTGGGTGAGATTAAAGTGTGACATGCATATTCACCAGGTATACTGCTCATCAGGGGATTGAAGGATGTTGGTCTGCAGGTACACAGCTTGGCGTGTTTTTTGTGTGTTGCATCCCATTCTGTAATGCTAGGTTCACACTGTCGTACGATCCGTTACGAACGTTACGATTGGCCATTTGTAGCTGATCGTGGAACTCCTCTGAAATTTCAGCTTTGGATACGAGGTGATGTGAGTCGATACGTTTTGATACGATTTGTTGCGCTTGGATGCGATATTGTCACGATTGATCAATTTAAGGTGACACGATCTGTCACAATCTGGTCTCCCGTTTAGATACAATCACATACGTTCTGATAAGATTTTCCCGATCGAGTCCACGATTGGGTCGCTATCTGAAACGAACATCACGATCGGGGTTCCCGATTTGGGATGATCTGGTACGTGCAGGTACGTTCCGATACGTTTATCATGAACCTATGCCCACGATTGGGGATGATCACGATTTGAGCTATGACTGGACCTGACGGGTATATATGCAGCCCGACTGACCATGCATGGACTTCATTGTTTCTTGAACTTCTACAGAGTGAACATTACAACCCACAACCAGTGATGATGGCAGGAGTTGAGGATGATGACAAGGTGACATTGGCAGTATTACCGTATGCTTACATTATCGCCAGAGTGGAAGAAGACAAGCAGCAGCCAGACCAGCTACAACACCAACCACAAACCACCAACCACAAAGGTCCAGGAGAGCTGCAGTCGGGCACTTTTGGGTGCGACCATGGCTCACAGAGGAGAGGAGACAACCGTTTGGTCATTCTCCAGCCTCCTAGACACCCATTTGAGGCTGGAGGATCCAGTAGCGTTCCAAAACTACACAAGATTAACACCAAAGCTTTTCGATGAAGTCTTGCAGAGGGTGGTCCCAGCAATCGATAGGGAATTCGCCAGTTTCAGGCAACTCCTCTCACCAGGATTGAAACTGGCAGTGATACTGAGGAACCTTGGCACTGGCGACAACTATCTGTCCCTTGCGTATGCCTACATGTGTGGAGTGTTCACTATCTCAGAGATGGTTCCAGAAGTGTGCCAGGCAGTTGTGACCCCTGAAGCCTGGACAGCCGTAGCTAACAAGTTTGAGCAGAGATGGAATATCCCCCACGCCATTGGGGCCCGGGATTACATATTACTATCCAGAAGCAACCCCAAACTGGCAGCCTGTACTTCAGGGCTTCTTTTCCATACCACCTATATCTCTGGTGGATGCAGATTACAAGTTTGTGTGGATCGAGCTTGGTGGAAAAGGACACATGTCATGACTCGGAGCTGTTCAACGGCCTGGAAGAGGAAGACCTAGGACTCCCCCACCCTGCCCTCTGACTGCAAACCCTGATGACCACCAAGACATGCCCTTCTTCATCCTCAAGGGGAGGAGAGTGGTGGAAAATGGCTTTGGGATCCAGGGCCTAGATTTTCGAAGCTCTCTTAGTGCTAAGATAGTCGTAAGTGCCATACATTATCATTAACCTACAAGTATCCTAGCGCTGAGAGAGCTTCGAAAATCTAGGCCCTGGCCAATAGATTAAGGTGTCTCCTCAGGACCCAAGAGCACAAGCCCAAAACTGTGAAGGATATAGTGGAGGCGGTAGGAACTCGTAACAGATCGTGTGCGTCCGTGAAAAAGCGTGAATACTCGCATTTACTCGTATCAACTCGTTCGTATCTGCTCTTGAGTCATCCGTGTCAGGTCGTGAGCAATGGGACCCGAAAGAGGGTCGCAGATCGTGAGAGATCGCAACACATCTCAACAGAGCGTGGTGTTTGTCTTGTCCACGACTGATTCCGATCACCACGATTTGGAAGCACGATTAGATGCGATATGTTGCGCTTTGTTATGATGCAACACGATCTGATGCGGTGTTCACGATTGACAACTAATCGTGTTGATCGTAGAAAAGTGCTGGGCCCCGTTTCACAAAGCTCTCGTAAGCCTAAGATCTCGTAACTTTTCTCGTAGCATTCGTACCTCCTATGTTACAGTATAGGAGGCACGAATGCTACGAGAAAAGTTACGAGATCTTAGGCTTACGAGAGCGTTGTGAAACGAGGCCCAGAACTGTCCAAACATTTTCTACGATCAACACGATTTCCACGACTGACCTCAAGATCTGATAAGATCTGATAGGATCACCACGATTAGTCCACAATTAAGACCACGATTTCAATCGTGGCGCGAATCGTGATAGTGTGAACATAGCATAATGATGATCGTTGGAGCGAATCCTTATATCGTCCCTGGTCAGCTGTCCTATTGAGAATTAAATAAAATGTGCATGATTTGCCATCCAAACACAAACAAAACAGAAGAAAAACATCAAAGAAAACAAAACATACCGAAAACGTCAGCGCAAAATAATACACAGCCTTGACATTCCGTTTGGCGTGAAGGGGACAAGGCACGTGCAAGTCGTGAAGAGTGCACGAAAGCGATAGACTTGATTTGCACGTGCTAACCTCACGTCTCTGATGAGCACGTGGTTCAGTGATCAGTTAACGAGCAACAATGGAGGAAGCAGCACCGGATTAGCGTTGGCGACACTTTCAACAGAACACAGCTGTTTATTTGATGGTATGTAGCATGTGTTATACGTATGGTGTAAGGGCATTGAATTTCAAATGTTTAAGTAATGTGGAATTGATTATGTTAATGGCATGTTTGCATTTACACATGTCTTTAGGTCCGTTCATAATTTAGGGTTAGGGTGGGGGTTGCGGTCACCCATTTTGTTAAAGGGGTTTGGGGGTTGTTCAGCAATTTTGTACACATGAACTCTGTGGGGTGGGTGTATTTTAAAAGTATTAACAATTATGCCTAAAAATATGGAAGGGGGAGGGGGTAATTGATCTTGAGGGGCACTTACTTTGTACATAAATTTTAGTTGGGGGGTCAGTCACTGTGTACATGCTTCCCCATAAAAATCATCATCACTGCCCCTAGCCTTAAGTTATGAACTGTCTCTCAGTAGGAAATGAATAAACGCCCCTTTTTCATAAAGACCAATTCTTAGGAATATAATGATTACAAAAACGGGGTCACGGGCGGAAATCCTTTCCATATCTTTTCTGTAAATGTTACTTGCAAGGTGGGTACAATGTGTGAAGCCTATTTCTGGTGTCACCCCACCGTGATATTACTGGAACATTGCTAAAAGCGGCGTAAAGCTAAAACTCACTCACTCATTACCTGTAAGGTTTGCGAGTTTAGTTTTCTTCAATTACAATAAAAGTATCGAACGACAGTATTCGAGAAACCATTATAGTTTTTTTCAAACGTACTGATGCTCCCTGTGAGAGATCCCGCTCCATTGCCAGCCCTACAAGGCGACAAATATGAGTAAAATTAATGATTGCGCTTCTTCGTTCAACATTTCGGGAGGTGGGGGTAGCCTAGTGGTTAGGGCGTTCGCTCATCACACTGAACACCTGGGTTCAATTCCCCACATGGGTACAATGTGTGAAACCCATTTCTGGTGTTCCCCGCTTTGATATTGCAAAAAGCGGTTTAAAATTGAAGCCGTATAACATTTTGGCTATTCTGTTTTGTGTCAATGTAATCGAAAATACTGAGCGACAATATAAGGCACAGTATGTAATATATACTTCCCATCAAAAGTATAGACTCACTAAAAGCACTATATGGTATGTATAGTGAAAGGCAAAAGAAATGTAATATTGGAAATGACATTTAAGTATCAATGGAACATTTGAACCTATTTTTTTTAAATAATACGCCACTGAAATGCAGTACCGACTTTCATCAGAGAAGATAACCCCTCTCCATTGTCCCCACGACAGTTTTGCCGCTGTTGTGTCCACTTGGATACGTTCCCGGCGGTGACGTTGGGTGAATATGGGTCTCCAGGCAGGACATCGACAAAACAGGTTCCTGGCTTGGAGACGTCGCCGAATGGTAGGTCACTGACTGGTCGCTGGTGGTTTCCTATGGTCACCCAAGCTGTTTCTCTGGCCCTTGCGAATAGGTCTTGCACGTGTTGATGGACGATATGACGGTCCTGGCGACGTGTTGCTACACGGGGTTGACCACTACGTGGACGGTCATCAGTGCTGCTGGTGGCGTTGTATCGTTCTATCGTTCGTACGCTGCAACTGAAGTCATTAGCATGTTGACCAGCGTGCAGACGTCCAATAGCTTGTTGTGGTTGATCTCTCGTTAACCTAGTCATAGCTGCTGTGTTCAGAAAACAAGTGAACGATTGCCATTCAAGCCGGCAATTTATGCCTGAATGCATTTATGATGCAGGTGCATCTCGATTTCAGTGTTGTTTGTGGAACTTTTCCCTCTCCAAAAAACCAAAACATTTCGAACTTCAATCTCAAACAATACTTTATTGGACAATGCAGGCTATACGACCACGATTCATGTTTCCTCAAACTTGACTTCTGGTGTATATTTAAAAAAATAGGTTCAAATACTCCATTGATACTCAAATGTCATTTCTAATATTACGACGTTTCTTTTGCCTTTCACTATACATAACATATAACTGAACAGCAAAAGAAACGCAACTCTGGCTTTTTGTCAAGTTTGTGAATAGAAGACAACCAAAATTATGTCTAATCATTTATTGCATAGAAAACACTGTCAATTTAACAACTAAAAGTTGCTGTTGACATTGAATTGCAATAAGTTCAAATTGATCACAGTCCGTCAAATGGAGATACCCCTGAACGCGAAAAGTGACTGTCTCCTTTAGTAGCGCGTATAGCCACCTTGAGATTGCACACTGGCCGTGCAACGTGGCCTCATGGAGTTCACTAGAGTCTGAAAGAATGCCTGAGGCAACTGGTTCCGCTCAAACACCAATCTCTATTCCAATTGTGCACGTGTGAGTGACTGTCTACCTGCAGCAATCCTCCGTCCCAGAATGTTCAATGGGAGCCATATCCGAGGAAAGAGACGTTAATGTTGTTTTGAGCCAGATAATCCATCGGGTTGCAAACGTCGCTGGCGTTGTTGAAATTGGCCCCAGATATGGCCTTCGGCAGTGGATTCCAGCAGCCCGAAGACGACGCCTAATCGTATATCGCTTGGCACTGCTCCCCTTGATGCTTGAGTTCGGTTCCTTAGATGAGTGACCCGGATGAACCGATCTTGCGCATGAGTTGTCACTCGTTGCCGTCCGGTACGAGGACGATCAGCAGCAACCCGCAATGGCCATTCCCCTTCCCTCTGCTCAGTCGTTAGTCTAGGCATCGTTTGCGTGGCGTGTACACCTCCTAGCGTCAATACTGAACTGTTTTTTTTTTTACACAAACCTTTATAAAAGATACCTCAGAGTAAAATGCATGCTTTTCATCCATAACCGTCGATGCACGAGATAAAATTATGGTTTTGCTGCATTGTGGGTGTGTTTGTGCGAATGGTTCATTTGGACGTCAAATTGCATGACATCTGGGATCATTAAGTCACTTTACCATGAACGCGTGCCTTCATGAGATTTCATTTTTTCGAAACTTGCTGTTCAGTATATATATGGTTACATCGAAGATTGATTTCTCCACTAACTTGGGGGAACCAACTGCGAACCTCATGCATCAAATTGCTGAAAAGCATGTGCAAATGTAGCTGGGTTTTGATGTAAAGTTTACCTCAATTTTCTCTGAACTCGTTATGAATTTGTTTCATGTGTAAACAATATGGAATATTTTGAAAATTTTGTTTAGAGCAGTTGCCTGAACTTTTGATGGGAAGTATAATGAATGACGCGGCGCACCTGTTTTCTACTGGGGCAATAGAATGTAGAATTTTTGGAGGTGGCTCCAGGTCGAAGGCATCCTACCCAAATGTAGTTTTTTACGTCAAACCCCAACAGTGAAATTAAGCTAACAGTAACGTAAATTGGACTACAATCGATTGTGGTCACCTAGAGCTCGCTTGGTTGACACATGTCATCGGTTCCCAATTGCGCATGCTGTTGATCACTGGATTGTCTGGTCCAGACTCGATTATTTACAGACTGCTGCCATATATTGCTGAGTGCGGCGTAAAACTAAAATCAATGGGTACCATCAAACCCCTAAGACACGCATGAATAATGTATGAAGCCTTTCATTTGTTTCCTGACAGCTGTGTTCTTTGTTTCAGATAAGATGTCGCAGCGACCCGAAGGAATACGGCCCTCGTTAACTTGTGTGTATATATGAATAAATAAATAAAAAATAGTCGAGAAATATTTGTTACTTTATTGCTCAAACATGGTGATGTAGCAGTGTTCATCAAAAGCTGCGCCTGAGCAGCATCTGAAAGTAAAGACAACAGGGATTTCATTGGATCAACCCCAACATAATAACTGGAAATCGAACCCTGATCTTAGCTTCCCTCCTCACGCCTATCCAACCGCCCCTAGAAACATGTAAATTTTAGACCCTCTACTCACACTTTAAATAAACGTAGATTCATAATTTGAAATTCTAGCCACTCAAAACTGGATAAATAATGATCTGGTAACACATCTTTAGGAAAACATCCACTTAAGTGAGTAACAAGCACACACCTGGTTTGGGGATCCACAAGATTTTAAACCTAATTTGACCCCTAAGTCTATTATATCTTAAGAATGTTTTTAGTGAGTTTTAGTTTTACGCCGCACTCAGCAATATTCCAGCTATATGGCGGCGGTCTGGACCAGACAATCCAGTGATCAAACAGCATGAGTATCGATCTGCGCAATTGGGAACCGATGACATGTGTCAGCGAGCCTGACCACCCCATCCCGTTAGTCGCCTTTTACGACAAGCATGGGTTATTAAAGACCTATTCTACCCCGGATCTTCAAGGGTCAGTTTTCGGTTGAATCAATGATTTGATCCTTAGCAAAGTGTGAATAGTATATATCCGCTTGCCAAGTTTGAAACTGTACCGGCCAAACTTATTTTGGATTAAGATTATTAAGATCAATATGAAAGCAAATGAAATCGGGGTTAGTTGACCCAGTTTGATTTCACCAAACAGTCAGGAACGATCAGATTTGAGCAATATTCCATATATGACGGTGGTCTGTAATTAAAATATCGGAATTTCACCGGACAACCCAGCGATCAACATCATGAGCATCGATCTGCGCAACTGGGATACGATGGCATGCGAATGAGAGTGAGCCTGACCCCCTTGGTCTGGTGACTTTAATCCTGTAACAGTAACGACTGGCAAAAGAAGAACACCCCGCTGAAGACCAATTCTAACCCGGGTCTTCATGGGTAGGAACGATTAGAATTCTTTCCAAACATTTATCTCATTACACAGTCCGTGACACGGCCGATAATTAGAGGTGAGTCAGTACGCTCTTGACTTACCATGGGGCGGTACAAGGCCTTCGGGTCGGTATACGAGATATGATCATAATGCATCAAGTTGACAAGAGCCAAACCTTACATGGGAAAATATAACCGGAAAATATAACCAAAAAATTTGGCATTTTGAATTTTATGACTAAATAGAAGAACGGTACAAAAACCGAATTTAGATTGCATTAAGCTATACGGAAACGAAGGCAAATTACCGAATTTCTACTATTGACTGACTGAGTTTGGTTTTACGCCGCTTTTAGCAATATTCCAGCAACATCACGGCGGGGGACACCAGAAATGGGCTTCACACATTGTACCCATGTGGGGAATCGAACCCGGGTCTTCGACGTGACGAGCCAACGCTTTAACCACTAGGCTACCCCACCGCCCCGAATTTCTACTAAAGTTTAAGTACACATATTACAAGGCAAGTATTTCTGTTAAAAGTATTTGTTAAAATTGTTGGTGGGATTACGATTCATTTGATTATGGAGCAGTTGTTCGTGTGTCAGGCTGCGTACAGAGAATTAATTTTGAAAACATCAACGAACAGCACATGCAGTGGCAGTAATTCAATGACAAAATCCAGCCAAATTTCTACACACTCCCCGTGATTCAGCAGATAATTACAGAAGAAATATAGTATGAAATTTAAGCACACATATTAGAAGGCGGGTGTTTCAGAAAGCCAATCCCGTTACAGTCTTCGTGAGATTATGATTTATTTGACTATGGCGGAGTTGTCAATATGTTATGTTCCGAATCGGGAATCCATTTTGAAAACACAAGGGAACAGCATGTAGTTATGGCAATGATTTTGTATCAAAATAGTTAAAATGGGGTTTCAACATACCTGTGAAATATAACAAATACTATGTTAAATGGAAGAGGAGTCCGACATCGTGTCTGCAAGGCCCGGATATTGTTGAAGAGGATCGTCACGTGACCCACCCCTGCAGCAATTGCAGGGACTGCACGCTCTAAAGCCCAGGATGTACCAGCCAGACCATGTTACGGTGGGCTGTACAAGCCAACTTTCGTTATTTTGCAACAACTGTGTGGTGAAAAGTTTGTGACATAATTTACAATTTATTTGAAACAGATGAGTGGCAATATAGACTGTGCTATATATGAGCTACATCAAAAACAGAATGATATTCCGGTTTGTATATTCTCTTGTAACTTAATAATACCCTCATGCTCTGAGATGAAGCATGACATTTACGAAAATGTATTTACTCAAGGTAGTGCAGCAGAACATTGACAATTGTATTTGCATGATTTCATTCTTTCAGACACTACATACGAAACAAAATAGCAGATGCCACTTTGGCACCATTCTCTTCCCACAGAGGTTACTCCTGTCATATCTTCCTACGTAACCTCTGTTCTAATACGGCCCTTTCATGGTGTGAGCGTTCAAGACTCGTGATTGGAGGCAATCAGATTTAGTTGTGCAATCAGCGACGTTGTTTCAAAAGTGATCATTCGCAAGGCCTCGGTAATTTCCGTATGCTTCGAGAAAACTAAACCTCTTCCCCTGCGCGATGCGCAAACGTTTCTTCTAGACAGAACTCAGTCATGTTATGGCGGATCAGTGGCGTCTCCATCGCCCTCGTCGACAACGGACAAGCTAGCCATTAAACGTCTTGTGTGTAACATCAAGACAAGTCCCCGGCAGATGGGGGATATTTGTGGCCCCACATTTGCTTGTGTTAGTCAAGTTGAATCTAAGTCGATGTAACACGTGTTCTGATTGGATAGAAAGAAGGGAGATAATTCGCGTTGCGATCTTTTGCCGCTAGGGGATTTTACGTGAACCGGGAAATATGGCCGTATTAGAACAGAGGTTCGTAGGAAGATATGACAAGTAACCTCTGTGGGAAGAGAATGCTTTGGCACCCATGATGGTTTTGAAGAAATGCTTTTGAGCAATATCACAGCGGGGGATACCAGAAATGGGCTTCACACATTGCACCTATGTTGGGAATCGAGCCTTACCACCCGATCCCGTTAGTCGCCTTTTACGACAAGCATAGTCGTCTTTTGTGGCAGGCATGGGTTGCTGAAGACCTATTATACCCCGGATCTTCACCCGGTCAATGACAGTATATGACTTGATGGCAGTTTTTAGCGCTACAGGTTCCATGTGAACCCCACCGCACGACTGGAGTTACAAACGGCACAAGTAGGCCTGTCTCACCACACCCTTGTTAAAATAATGCGGGGGCGGTGGGGTAGCCTAGTGGTTAAAGCGTTGGCTCGTCACGCCGAAGACCCAGGTTCGATTCCCCACATGGGTGCAATGTTTGAAGCCTATTTCTGGTGTCCCGCGCCGTGATATTGTTGGTTGGAATATTGCTAAAAGCGGCGTAAAATTAAACTCAGTCAGTCAGTCAGGTAAAATAATGCACCCTTTCCTGTCCAGAAAACAAATACGAAACAGTGTCTTGGTTTGTTTGTCTGCGCCCCCGTGTGCTTTATACAACATTATCACGTGACCCTATTGATGCTAAATCACGGGTTGACTATCTCACCACCCCCTTGTTAAAATAATGCACCCTTTCCTGTCGAGAAAACAAATACGAAACTGTGTCTTGGTTGGATTGTTAGCATGCCTTGTTTGCTTTATACAACATGTATCTTCTTCCCGCCTGATTACCATCCTGGTCCAAAACGTCTCGAACAGAGCAGCTTCCGTCTATCCTGCTCAGTACGAGAGCGTCATCTAACAGAATCACGCCATCTTATTCACAACCGTCAGATACAGTCTCCTCATAATGATTCTGCCGAGTAAGTATTTTTTCTCTGGATACCGCAATCATTATAAAGCATATTATACAAGTTATAGGCATGTCTTCTTTCGTCTAACTGACGTCCCAGAATATTCATATATCATATATACCTGCCATGCACGTTCACACTATGTAAGGCGCAGCATGTGACAATGTGTAAACAACCACTTGTATGTGTGAATACCCCTTTAAATACATCTTCGCGAATTGGTGTTCTAACAACACATTGTGAAACGGGTCCGTATTTGTCCTTTTGCTGACATTTGTGTACGTTTTTCATTCTTATTAACTGAAAGGTTAAAAATATCAGTTTTGGATTCACATTCATTTGCACTATATTGAATCACTGTGCATAGAAATTGATGGAGTCTGGATTCAAACATAAAAAAGGCATTTTGTGAAAAGTACAAAAATACTGTTTCAAACAATTCCATTAATTCGCACCAGTGCCGCCAGATGTTCTCAGAAGTGGTCAGCAAGCAAGACTTGTTTCACTTCAAACTCACCTCGATATGAAGCCGACAAACTGTTAAAACACTGAAGTACTGTTCAAAGAGTGTCACCCCAACATTCTTAAAACACGAAGGACAATCCCATGATTTCAATCCAAAGTCAAATCAAATCAAATCATAGCTTATCTGTTCAATGTCGAGCCATTGATGACCTCGCACTAGAATAGTGAAGCAAACGCGCTTTAAACTATTCTGAACTTCTTGCCATTATAAGGCCATGTGAGTCTGTAATTACCACTTTCAAAGCCTGTTTTATATCAGTATCTTCACACCCCTCTCTTGTACAACTCAAACACAATGACGTTGGGATTTGTATTCTTGATGAAATCAGAGACCATATAGTTGATTATATGGTCTCTGATGAAATACAATAAGTTTAATGACAGAACTGTTGAATAGTCGGCCATTTTGAAATCTGACACCAAGAAGTGAGTACGGTTTTACGTCGCTGTTAGCAATATTCCATCAATATATTCCATCAATATTACGCCAAAGGGCGCCACAAATAGGCGGAATGGAATGTCCTCATGTGTGGAATCGAACACGGACCTTCGACATGACATGTGGATTTTCCTACCACCCCTGCCCACGTGGAATACACCGTGCGATTAGAAACAATTGTATATTCAAACACTTTTTCTTTCGAGTGAGTGAGTGAGTTTGGTTTTACGCCGCTTTTAGCAATATTACAGCAATATCACGGCGGGGATGGTGTGTGTGTGTGAGGTGGGTGGGGGGTTTAGCCTGATATACTTAGGGAAACAAATAAGGGAACACATGAAACTACAAGTGTACCTTTATTTTTTTTCCATTTTCTGCTCAAGGTTTGTATCGCACTGTGAGTGAAATTCTGGAATTAAATAAAGGAACACTGCGAAGAAGTGGTGTTCCCTTTTTTCTTCTCTCAGTATATAAACACAGAACCCACCTTATAAGTAAGATCGAGTTAGCATGGTTTTAAGCCACTTTTAGCAATATTCAATCATGGTGGGTATACCAGAAATGCTCTTCACATATTGTACCCAAGTGGGGAACCAAACCCGGGACTTCGGCGTGACGAGCGAACGCATTAACCACTAGGCTACCCCACCGCCCCATTTTTGTCGATCTAGCCTAAGTGATGATCTAGGTAAGAAGTGGTCTGAACCAATCCCGGCTTGTCGTAAAAGGCAACTAACGGGAGAAGTTGATCAGGGTCCCGATCCACAAAGCGTTCGTAGCGTTACGACATTCGTAAGCCTATGATAAACTATAGAGTTGCGATAGGTCGTAACTTTACGACCGCTGTGTTGATCGGGGCCCAAGCTCACTGACCAAGTCGATGCATGCCCCAGTATCCTAATGCTCATGATGTCGATCACAGGATTGTGTGGTCTCATAGCTGAAATATAGTGCGAAACAAACAAACAGTTCAGTATGGCTGTGGTTTTGGCGAACAGGTGGTATTAATTATTCAGGCCTGACAAGTGACATTATAGAATGTTAATTAGGGTTTCGTAGTGAATACATTGTGAGTGTGCTTATCTTCTTATAGCATATGTTGACTCATGTCAAAGAAACAGAAACCTAAAGTGAAAGTGAACAAGCCTTTGCGGGAGGAAAAGTTACCCACTCGCTAATTCCTCAAGCATCATTAATATCTGGGCCATTAGCATGCTTCCTTGAGAATTTGCTAATTTATCGTAGGTTAATCTACACAGTGATATTCTAGCGAATGTCGTTTGTTTCGATGTGTGGATGAGTTCAGTTTTACGCCTCTTTTAGCAATATTCAGCAATATCACGGCGGGGAACACCAGAATGGGGTTCACATGTGGGGAATCGAACCCGGGTCTTTGGCGTGAGGAGCGAACGCTTTAACCACTAGGCCACCAAACCGTCTCTTGTATGCTACGAGGAAAAAAGAGGAAACAATTGGAGATGTATCATCTTGACTGGGACAAATATTTTCTCGTGTTAGATTGTGAGTGATTGTCTCAGACATTTACGGCCTTGTTGAAACCTATGACAATGGGGTATGGTGCTGTCATACCTAGAAACATCGGGGAGAACTGGGATTCGAAACACAATCATATGTTCCAGGCGTACTCAAGGGACATAACTCACCGTAAACTCCAAGAAGACTCGTCTCGATGCTTGTTATGTGCGAAAATACGACAAACCAATCAGATTGTGCGTAGTGACTGCGGTGCTTTGATAAAAACAATCCCTGGTACTTAAATCGCTTATGGCACTATGTCATTGTTTAAAAAATCATGGAAAATATACTCTCCCCAAAAAGAAACGCATATAGGAATTTCAACTGTATTTTTATGTTTATTTTGAAACATCTTGTAGGCTTTATGAGTCTATGAAATATAGCGAAATTGCACACTGGGAATGCAGACATATCCGTCTTTGGCACCAACTCGAGGAAAGTCAGTTTGAGTGTCACATGGAGACGTATTGTGCGCAGAAGTCAATACCTCGTGTGACCACCGTGGACATCCAGAACTGCACGGCATCGCCTCGGCATCGAACGAATAAGTCTCAGAATCTCGTGTTGCCCAATCGCAGCCCACTCTGCCTGTAGTGCCTGTGCGAGTTGCTGAAGTGTCTGGGGCTGAGGGTTACGGCATCGCACCCGTCTGTCCAGGGCATCCCACAGATGTTCGATCGGGTTTAAGTCCGATGATCTTGAGGGCCAGGGGAGCACGTTGATGTTGTGGTTCTGAAAGACTGAAAGAAGTCTCTAGTGTGACGTGCTGTGTGTG